TTGCTCCCGCCGCCACCGCCTTCGGCTCGCTGCTAATTGCTCCTAAAGCGTTCTTCTCGGAGCGCCGGCCACCAGCATGGCTTGGAGACTCATGCTTTACTAATTTCCCTGTCTTCCAGGCTGAACCAATCCCCTCTAGGGAGGCTTGCCTCCCCCTTCACTCCCCCCCCCGCCCGCCTCGCTCCCTCCCTCCCCAAAGAAACTTGTTTTCTAGCGGAGGATTTTATTTTATTTTTTTGGCAGTGAAGTGCTTGAGAAAGCCACCTGGAGCTTGTTGCCTGCTAGATCTCCCCCTCCCCCCCGCTGGAGGAGGGGTTGGGTGGAGAGGTTGGAAAGAAGTGTATACTACAGGCAGACCCTGGAAAAGCAGATTATATGCTGGTCAGAGAGAGTAAAAAGGGAAGAGAAATAATTAGCTCCTTTTCCTTCTTCTTTGCCAGCTTCCATGGAGGTCTTTCTCCCTCCTTTAATGAATCACTGATTTCTCGCTTCCGTTGCTGAAATAAAAAGTTCACACTTTAGCCTGCTCTTCCTTTTAAGCCTCTCAAGATTTATTACGTCTGTTTCCCCACCCTCACCCTCCTTGTCTCAAAAGAAATCAGGGCCCTAAATGACCATTTTCTAATTGCTAACATGAGTCATTTACTGAATCACGCATCTGACTTCAAAGCAAAATGGGCTTTATTGGGATTGCAAAGGTTTCCCCATAAAATCTGTCTGAATATTTTGCCTTTTTTTTTTTTTTTTTTTGTTTAAACTAATGCAGTTTTCTTTGCCAGAAAGAAACAATTTTTCCATTTTCAAGGCTATTTTAAAGTGATTTTTCAAGCTATTATTTTCCTGGAGGGGCATATGTTGTTGGTTTTTCCTTTGATTCCATCTCTCCTAATGGATTTGTCACTTCACATACTGAATGTTATGACAGATTTATATTTCTAGCCCATCACTGAACTGTCAACTGTCCCAATAATTAACAGGCATCTTCCATATGATGTGTTATCTTTTAACACCAGAATAAGGGATCAGGGACTGACAGGATATGGGCAGCATGCGAGACATTAAATTTTGGTTCAGTATTCAAGTATTGTAAAACATCCGGTTTGGAATGCAAGTAGGTGGAACATTTGCTAAGAGAATGGAGTAGCAGAGAAGTGGTACAGGAACACAGTAAGTATCTCAATACGTATAACCAGAACTTTTTTGAAGTAGAGGCACTTTAATAATGCAGATCAGTGGAATGCAATGGAAAACTGCCTATGCAATTACATTTGGCATTTGGAATAAATCTTAATTTAAACAACAGAAAATGCAGAAAAGAAGAAATAGTTCTAAAATTAGACTGATTCATTAGATTAGGATGTTAAATATATTGTTAACTTCACAACAGAAATCAGAAATTATTTTCTCCAATTATGGTGTTTATTCTGGAGAGACTCGGCTCCTAAATTTATGTGTTCAGCTTCTGGGGGTGACATTTAAACAGCCTTAAAAATGAAACCATTTAATGTTAAAATCAGTATGGTTTATGATGTTGTTCAGAGTATTTATTCTGCATGTATTTGCACCGACTGCAAAGCATTTCAGATTTTTTTTTTTTTTTTTTTTTTTTGTGAATCTGATTTAGGCTTTCCTTTTGTGGCAACTAATAATAAAAAAGAAATAAAACAAAAAAGAAAAGCAAAAATCTACTTTTTAGTGAATGCCTGACAGCTTACATGTATGTTTACAAATCTGATGTCAATGTTAGCTTGCTGTTTAGATCACAAAGGGTACAACAAGTTATTTCTAAAATTGAAGTTCTTTTGATTCCAACAGCCTAAATCAGAAATAATTACTATAATGTCTTAAAATTATACATTTGAAGCAACCTTTCATTTTTTTTCTTTTTTCTGTCAAATGCTGGAAAAAACAATGAATTGGCATTTTAGGATCTCTGGTGGCAAAAGAAAATAGTAGTTTGGGGGTCAAACAGATATATTTAATCCCTACTCATTAAAAAAAAAATAGGTACTGTCTTGAATTTACTCAAGAAGAGTTCTGCTTAGGCCTATTTCTAGCTTGTGATTGGCTGTATGTTGGTTGTAAGATCTTGTGGTTAAGAACAAAACCCACATATCCGGAGTTTCGTATTAAATCTGCTTCTGGCAGGTGCAATATTCAGTGCAATACTTTAAACTACTACAACGCATAGAGTCCTTTTCTATCCTGTGTGATGACAGGGAGGGCATTTACAAAACAGAGACCAAATGAAAAGCTAACATAGCTTTTTAGATTATATCTCATTCTTTTTTCTACTTTCTGTATAGCCTTTCTTTTATAGCACAGTTGAATCCCTAAATACCCCACTACTTTGTATTGTCAGGTCACCTCTTAGGTTAGCCTGAGAAAGCCTGAGAAAAGTTCCACAGGAAAGATGCACTATTTAACGGAATTCAATCTGTCCCAACAGATTTGAATCACTAACATAAATGTATGAATGTAGATTATATCTCTGTAATGAGGCCTGAATCATTCTCAGTTACTTCAAAGGACTGAAATTCAACCTTCCTTTTTAGCAGTAACAATCAGACCTTAATGGGTTCCTTTATTAATTGTTCCATTGCTAACTTGAAAAGCAGCTACCTTCAGTACAGGTCCTAGACTAGAAATGGTACCTGCTGCTTCTAAAACAGTGTTTTTGTTTTGCCTTTTATTGCTCTAAGATTCTGTGAAGTTTCCTGCGCTGCAGTTTTATAAATGCTGAATTACATTGATCCATACAGAATGAAATAAAGAAAACCCTTTCTAAAAAAATGTGCAAAAGGTAGAAAATAGATTTAAAGGATTTTCTTTTCAGGCTGTTTTCTTTCCAAAGAATGTTCAGGGAAATTAATTGCACAGGTGAATTTTAATGAAAAATAGACTAAGGAAAATATCTTTTTGATACTTGTAGCAATATCTTACCTCATGTTTTTGTCTTTTGATCAGCAAGGAGGTATGTTTTGGAGGGTTTTTGTTTGTGGGTTTTGTGGGTTTTTTCCTTGGAAAGTAGATGAATCAGAGAAGGAATATTTTAAGGTAGTTGGAATAGATTTTGCCTTGTATGATTTCTCTGAGGCAAGGCATTATCTTTTCTGGTGTTGTAAATAAGTTCTGTCTATGCTTTTGAGTGTTAATATAATCAACTCTCAGATGTCACCAGCCTCTCAGTTTGGATTGCTAGATAGCAATCATGACCATTTGCTGCTTACATTACGATGAGAGATGCACATGCATCTTCTGGTCCTGGGACCTAACTCTGTTCTTATTCAAAGTGTCAGGAAATTTGCCAGTGATTTCACTAAGAGAGATTTGGGTCGGGGATGTCACTTCCAGAGAAATAGCTCTGCCAGAATTGAGGTGAGGAACGCCAAATGGCAGTGACAGGTCAGATGCCTCTGTCTATATGTCAGTTCTGAACTGCAGAACTTGGCAGTGTTGTAAAACACTAATCATGGTTATAAAGAAAAGACAGTGGCACGTAGTGTCCACAATCACCAGCCAGCAATGAGACAAGCTGTTTGATTCGAGATGCAGTGCTACTTGCTGAAATCTTCACACTGTGGAATTCATGCCCACCAACAAAGGGACTGAAGGCCATCGCATTTTATCTGAGTAAAGTATGTCTTAAAACTTGAGAAAAAAAAATCATTGTTAGAGCTTTTTCTTCTGGGAAATCTGCAAAATCACCATCATTGTATTTGTCTCTATTTTTTATCATTTCATGTGCCTCAATGTCATTTTAAAAGTGTCAAAATACTAATAGTATTCTAATTTTATATATAGAATGAGGTATAAAATAATCCCTTATGTTGTCAAAGATCAAGACTGAAGGTGGTGTAACTCATCTGTGTGTATGAAGCTGGAATAAGACGTATAAAATCAGAATACTATTTTAGTTGCCTGTCATGGGATTTGGTAGTGTGTGGAGCCTACTCCTTGGCTCTTCTGTGCACACTCCTTTCCAACTAAGCTTCCGACACTAGAGAAGAATTCGAGCAGAGTTTAGCAGAAGTTCATAAAATGCTTGTTTCAGCATTTCTTTTTTATTTCAAAACCACTTGTGTTTCTAGGTCAGACATAACAACAGACACGTGCAAAACATGTCTGAGATAACCAACACGTAGTTCAGCCAGAGCTGGT